TGGGGGGGGAGGGGGGGGGGAGCCCACCGGGGCGTGACCATATATGCACCGGGCGGGGGGGTTCCGAAGATTAGGGGAGTCCCGACAATTTTGAAAATGATATATTGCGGGCTATATTGGGGAATCCTGCTTGCACACTGACATTTCTAGCAGAAGGTATTCCAAGAGTGGAACCTGATGTGAACATATGCGAAACGAAAGTAAAACAACGTGGCGAACACGATATGATGCCATAGATTACAGCAAAGATGTTGGCCCTTTGCCAGTTCAGCCAGGGTAACATCGCTTGTGATACAGAATCTCATTATCAGACTCTACCATGGCTTATTTCAAGGGATATATATCTTCATCTCTTGCGTCAATGTGGATAGCACTTGGATCAAATCATCTCAGATGTAACGAAGGCGGACACCCACAAAAAATGTGTCTATGATGACAAATACGGCCCTCTAGCATGAAAGAAAATCATTGAAATACAACTGACATGATAGCCCTCCTTCGGAGGAACAAGTCAAGGTCTTCGTTCAGCAATGATTTGCTAGTGATCCTAGATTAATTTGTTCGACGCACAAACAGCATATGCGTGTTGTGTAAGTACAAACAAAATGCAGACATAGACCCATGGCGGGCACATTATCAACTTACAAGTACAGTTACATGAAGTCATCAAGCATCAAAAGCTTTTCTCTCACAGCTTCCTTAGCAAGTGCGAATGTCGCTGTACTAATCTCGCTAACTTAGAAATGACTAGTAACCGCAAGATTTGCGTAGTCTACCATATAAAAATGTTACTCACCTCTTTCAGCTTGTTTTTCAACTTCGCCTTCCAAACTTTCCTGTGCTAATTGTTGAACCACTGCCCCAAAGTAAGTATGGTAGTTGCCCAAAATGGGTAGGACCCCTAATATGGACCCCAATATACTATAATCCTTATTATGGGGATCCTTAAAAGGTACCCATAATTCTGGGAAACCCCCATATGTGCTTTGCCGTCAACCATTCGCATACAGCAATTACTCCATGGATTATTCATGCTGCAGCGTTTGACACGTCAAACTGCAACTTACCTAGTCTTTCTGATTTGTTGACGGAACCTCCAGAGTAGAAGCACCTATCTAGATTATCAGCTTTAGACCTCTGACTTCTACTAACGTTAGTATGGTCATGAACTTTCCAGTAGCTCCGAGATTAGCTTAAGGCGAACACTCAAGGATTGCATCAGCGTGTCTTCCAAGGGATTTTCTGCTTAGAAGTCCGTACATCCATCGCCTGGCCTCAAGTAACTTCAAAGCAACCTTTCGGGCTTAGGGAGTACTCTGTACCCTAAACCCCAAACCCGAAACCCTAAACCCAACCCCAAACCCTTAAACCCTAAACCCTAAACCCCAAACCCTTAACCACAAACTTTGGGAGCCCAGCTTGGATGGTAGAGCCATTGAGGAGGCACACGTTGAAGGCACCATCCTATAGGACCCGAATACTTGGGTTAGGGTTTAGGGTTTAGGGTTCAGGGTTGGCCCTCATATAAGCCCCTGGGTAGTACTACCCAGTATGAAAAACCTAAAACTCCTGGAGCCCTAACATTGGTAATTAGTGGCATAGTGGGCATCAGGATTGCCAGTCTGTGGATGATGGAGCGAAAAGTCTAGAAACTTAAGGATCATGGAGAAGAAAATGGAGGCTACTACTATACTATGTTATTGGGGCTCCTGGTGGGCTGCGGGGTGGTCTTCCTTCAGTGTACCCACTGTTAGAACAAGCTTCTGCGAGCTTGTGATAGTTTTGTCCTGTGTTGTCCTGATTCCAAGCTGCAGAGCGGGCTCCCCCTGAGATTGCACGAGTTTCGCATCTCAGAAACACATCACGAAAGCTTCTGTCTAGAGTTCGTAGAAAGAACAACACAAGCCTTGAAAAAGACCTTAGAAGGAACTTCGAGAGAGCTTGAGGAGGAAAATCAGATCATCCCTAGATTTCAGTCTCATCAAACTGGCCTCTACTCTACTTGAGCCCTGGACTAAGTTTGTAGTATATCCCGTAATTGGTCTCCCCCAGAACCCTATACATTCCCCTATAGGTCCCCCCAAGCCTAAATTTAGTCCATAGCCGACATGAATCCTATAAGTGTTGTAGATACTTCGTACGGGACAAACCATGACAACTGCGCAGTGCCAAAGTGACAGCAGTAAGGCCTTCTCGGAGAATTGAACTAGTTGTCCAAACCTGCAGATATCGGAAGGGGCTCCAAGAAGCCGTTTGAAAACACTTCTGGCCTGTCGTTGAAGGATGCACCATCGACCTCCATGCGTGACACCCCATGGTGGCTGTCGCTACCGTCATGTCTGAGTTTCAATTTGCTTGATAGCAGGGCGCACACTTACACTAGTTCTTTCTGCAAGAGCTACGCCATGTCACGCATCAGATGCGCCTCAACGACAGACCCCAGCCGGAATCCATGGATCAGCGCACCAGGACCTGAGTACATCGAGGAGACCTTTCTCATACTGTCTTAATGCTCCTCATCTCCTGCCTCCTTCTGCTGCCCAACTGTTTTCAGATTTATTGCTTGCATTGATCTTGCTGTACGATACAGTCGTTGCTTGCATCACACCTGCACAAACTTCACAGTTACCAGCGAGCCAGTGGAATCGCTCCCTGCCCGAGCTGAGACTAATGCTGTCCACGACCATGATGCCAGAGCAGGTCAACGTAAGTAATGCTATAACACGCTCAAATGCAACTTGCTGTGTTGCGTCCATGGAGAGCGATTCACCATTGCCTAAGTAGAATAATCGCTTGGTGCCGGGGCTTGTTACCTCATCATGGTTGGCTTTCCATTGTTGGAGCGCATGGCTGGAGCCACATAACTCGGAAAAGCTGAGATCCAATCAAAAAATGCAGCTGGTATTGTGAGGATGGCTTGCCAAAGGATCTGGCTCACTGACTGATGGAGTCCACCGATCTTTAACTTTTGTTGCTGCTGTCAGCTCTTCTGCGTGCAATGCCAGCGCTCAGCACCTGAAGCGTTCGCAGCTGCAAGCTTGTGGTCCTCGACTGACGCTTGCTGAGGATCCCACTGCGGTGAAGCATGAAGGTGGGAAAGAAGAGCGTATCGCGCTGTATGGCTTTGACATGCTCCTTTCGACGCGGGCTCGTCCACCTGAAGACAGCACGAGTTTTGCTCCTGGCCGTTCATGTCGAGGAGGAGGAGCCGCACCCAACCAGCATGTCTGTTCTGCTTCCTCCGACAACCCAAGGCACACAGCATCGAGACACTTCGCACATTTCGCCTGTCGATCTGGTCACGATGAAGCACATCACCTCTTGCAGCGAAGCAATACGCATCCCCAAACCCCAAACTTCCCAAAGCATCTTGAGGGAACCGCTGAGCTCCCTTATTGGCTGGCCATCCATTTCCATGAGGAAGCAGTGCCTCCGTGGCCAAGAAGTGCTTAAAAGACAATACGAGCACCTGCGCGTTGCAGCTTCCAGGCGACCGGCGGATGAAGCTCACGGGACTCAGCAGGAGAGCCGGCCAGCACGCTCTGCACGAAGACTCCCCCGGCCCTTGGAGCAACGCTTGTACCACATCGCTCGAGGATGCACCTCAGACTGCGAGTCTAAGGAGCTATCACCAGAGATGTAAGGCAGGGCCTGGGGGTTCTTCGGAGCACCAATCCCGCCCAAATCACCAAGTCTGTGTCATCCTCACATCTCACGACAAGGCGGCTTACACGGCTCAATCAGCTATGGCTTCAAAAGCACTTTTTGGTCGAGGGTGCCATTCTGTGAGACGTCTGCGAGGTATTGCAGGACTTTACCCACTAAGTCACTAAGTTGCACTGTGAAACTCTTCACTAACCTCAGATCAACAACAGCACAGCTTATGATAGCACCTCCCAAGCTTTGCACCTCTGGATGTAGCCTTCCAGCATCAGGGATGCCTCGCCAGTTGCCCGTCAGCCTGCCCAAAACTAGGGTGGAAGCCGAAGAGCCAGCTGAGCGGTTGCTGAATTTGTGTGGCTGGCTGCCTTAAATGCCTGCAGGTAGAGCGCAAGGATACTTGTCAATACATCTTGTGAAGTTCTCGGGATCCACAGTGCATGCCTGTGCCGGATCTATGACTTCACTGTTGAGTGAGACGGGATGTTCGCCACAAAGCATTGCAAAAGCAAGGCACCATTCCCAAGCTGCCAGATTTGACGTATCCTCAGGCCCCAGTAGCAGCTGCTCAAGACCAACACACTGCCCGAAATCAAAAACACAGCTGAGGCGCCGTTGTTGCACTCCGGTCCAGTCTTGACAACTCTTTGATTGCAGGCTGTGCCCAAAAGATGGGCCCCTCTGCACTCAAGATAACCTGCATACACGAAAAATCATTCCTGTAGCCATGCTGCTTGCTGAAGTCAAGAGTACTGAGCTCAAGGCAGATAGCTTCAGACTGGCAAACTCCCGAGTTTTCTGAATCTCCACATTGTTGGAAGACGCCATGGCCAAGCCATTTGCAATTGTGGTAGGTGTTGACGCAGGATCCTGAGATGTCAGAGTCAGCTGAGGCTTTGGCCCGACAGCCTCACAGCCTTGGCTGCAGGGATCTTCGGATGTACAGTTCATCATGGTTCCTGCCAACTTGCATATTAGCAAGCAATGAGAACTGGCACGCAACCACACACCATGTCCTGTGCACTTCAAGTTGGCCGGCTGTGCCTCCTTCAGGGCATGGCTTGCAGCTCCCACTCTAACGACTGCACCATGCTGGGCCCTTGCCTGGTTCAGCGCAAAGGAGAGCCCTGCCTCCACAACTGAAGTCATGAGACTTTACACCAGCAGCTGAGCACCGTGTCCGTGCCCTTCACTGGCCCACATCCTGCCTCAACGATGTGCTCAGTTGGCCTAAGTTGCATGGGCGTGCCTCCTCTGCAAGGTTGGCAAGGCTTAGTTGCAACAAGGACGCGCGCTCTCATCAGCGATAAAGCCTGCGCCACAAGCACAGGCTGCCCCGCGAGAGTCAAAGGCCTTCTTCGGGAGCACCTCCAGCACCACTCAGGCATGCGCTGAGCATCAACCTGGCCTCGGCTCAGTAATGCAAAAGCACACAGAGCATATGACTCCGGTTGAGTTCTTATGTCACGTGAGTTCTTCAAGTCTGTCTTCCTTCTGCTGCTTCGTCACTAAACGGATGCATGTCATTTCAGGCAACGTCCGCTGCTCAAGCCATGGAGGGCTTGAGCTGAAGCTGCGAAATATCCAGCAGCAGGCTGTGCAAGTCCATGCTGCCACACTTGCCAAAGAGAACAGGAAACATGTGATGCACAGCTGGCGTCCTCTGAACGCAAGATGGTGGGGCTCACTGACACTACAGCCTGCAACAGGTCTTTAATCCAGATCTTTCATCTAACTGTTCCAGATGCAAAGTGTTTGCTGTGCGAGCCACTCAAGAAGTCAGCGGCATGTGCAGCTTGCGGGGCGAACCGGCCTCCTTCCCATCCCGTAGAAAGCAGATCGGAATGTCCTGGAAGGGTTTGTACACCTTTTGTCATGGTGATGGTCCCGAGTACCCACCTGCAGTCCTCCTGCCTCTTCCGCTTTCCCTTTGATGGCTTCCTCTCCTTTTTTGGGCGCAATGCTTCCTGCAAGGGTTTTCAAACAGTTTTGCTTTGCTCTTGGCCACTCACTAGGCGCCTCAACATCTAGTGCTTGAGTGATAGTTCTGCCCGCGATGCTCAGGAGCACCTGACTCTTTGTGGCTTATGACGCGCTGCGCACGTGGTCCAAACTGCACGTTTGCAGCAATGAATGATCTCTTTTGAGGCTAAAGCATCGCCAGGCTGAAGCAAACCATGTGAGACGCCGGTAGAGAGTACCCGGCAAGCACAGATGGCTCGGGCCTCAACCACCCAACCAACCCGTACAAGTACATAGAAGTGCTGTGGTTCAGGCGATCCAAGTTGCCAGCCACTTGCCCCTGCTGCCCGCAACGCTTCCGCACTGCCTTCGAAAAGGAGCTGCATGCAAAGCACTGGAGACCGCACTCTGATTGAAGCAAGAGTGGGAGAGTTTGTGTAGCTGTCAGGCTTAGACTTGGTTGCTTGTTGCTGTTATTAGTATAATTACTATTATTATTCCTATTGCGATTATTATTGTTACTACTATTATTTTTGGTATTATTACTCTTACCGATATAATTATTGTTGCAGAGATGGCCTCTACCCAGGGTTTCGGCAGCTTAGAGGCTCCTCGGGCCAGCGTCGCTAAGTCGACAGCCTCGTGGACTTTCATCTTAGCATGGTCTACAACAGAGGGGTTTAGTTGTTTCTCTTTTTTTTGTCGGACCTTAACCCTAAACCCTAAACCCCATGGTACAGCAGTCCACGAGATGCCAAAAGGCGGCACGGCCCAAAATGCGGCCCGGAACGGATCCAATCGGCCTATCCGCTGCAGCCAGGGCCAGCCAAAATAAACTCGCAACCGAACGTAGAAAGGGTCTATTGGGACATATATTGGGATAATGGACAATAAAATGGAAACTACTATAATGTTGCTTTATATTGGGGTCATATTATGGAGGTTATTTAGAGATAATGGAAAAGAAAATGGAAACTACCATAATATATTGGGGTTATTTAGAGATAATGGAAAAGAAAATGGAAACTACCATAATATATATTGGGGTTATTTAGAGATAATGGAAAAGAAAATGGAAACCACTATATTATATAGGGACTATCTAGGGATTGAATGGCTTCAGGGTAGCAAACAGAGGCCTGTGCACAAAAACATGTCGGGGGATCACACAGACTTTACGACATGTAACCTCGCCCCTCAAACTAGCCCCTATGGAGCCACCATGAGCCACCACTTCAACCAGTGTTTGAGGTTGGTGTGAACACTATCCCTAGCTTCTGCTTCCCTCTCAGGGTTCAGGGTTTAGGGGACAATAGATGGCTTAAGGAAACACAGTAGGACAGTCAGATGTAAAACCGACGATCACAAATTCTGGGGTGGGGGCAGAACGGGGCCAGAGCAGAGGTGGCATGTTGTGGTTTCTGAGCCGGAGACAGAAACCTCGACATCCAAGGACCTGACCTCATGGCACTGCTTTGTGGCGCAGGAACTCTGTGACAGTTTGATTGGCACAGCAGTTCACAACAAATCCTAGTCCAGCTAACCAAACTTGACGTCAGCCACACACCGATGGCCCTTCTGCCCTATCTACAACTCTTATGCAAACACTCGCGATGCTCAAAAGCGTGAATGCACAGCAGAAAGAATCAGCAGCGAAGTCTTTTCCATGCGTTCGCAAGAAGGATTTGCTCAAGGGGCCCGCTTGGGAAAAAGGGCCGCGGAAGACCAAGCTCATGGGAAAAAAAGATGCTCAATGCCAAGGGAACGCAAAGTGCAGATTTATCACGGGTCAAAATTTTTTATTGGCATTGAGCTCCCTGAGGATGATCAAAGGCTTTTGCAACCACTGGTGTAGCTCCTGCAACAAGGCCAAGCTCA